TTTTATTAAATGTTATATTTTTCTTTCGCCTGCGTTTGCGTATCGCTAATGTCGCTTTTGTGTCGCATCAACTTCGTATGCCAGTTGATTAAAGAGCAACTAAATCGAAATATATTGCTGCCAAATTTTGATAATCACACAAAAATAGCGAGCGGCTACGACCCAGAATTCCTTACTCTTATATGCTTTTTAACAAAATATACTGTATACAAACGTCAGATAATTTATTTATGTGGTATTTTGATACTTTAGCCAATATGGTCACATGGTGTAAAACTCATGCTAACAATCTATCTATCGACTGTTGCAATTTTTAGTATTTTCAGCAGTCTGGCTAGGCTGCGCAATAGAAAAATTTTAGCTATCTGGTTAGCCTGGCCTTACGCTGCAGCCCTGGCCTGCTGCTATGTGGCGCAAATTTTAAAAATTTGAGTTTATCTTTTGGTTTTTTTTTACTGCACTCCCTTTGTATGGGAGAAAACTGAAGAAACAGCAACTGACGTGCTTGCCGCATGTATTATGCCACAGTTAACCCGCTCCAAGGCCTTTGCGACGTCTGCTTTGAACTGCATCCTGTGGGAATTTGCTCAAAAAACTGAATAATAGCAGCAAAAAAGCGAGCCATAGCCGAGGTGTAGAACAACTTTTCGCTTTGAATATTTAAGTGGCAGAGCCAGCAGCGGCAGGTATGCTAAGAGAGTGGGCGGGGCATGGGAGAAGGCGTGCCAGCAGAAAGGCAACGGCAGTGGCTGCGGCAGCTAACACAATTTTTCTTAGACCCCGGAAAATGTGAAAATGCGGAAATGTGATTTAATGTCGGCTCAAAATGATTGCCGAATATTTCGCTTGTTGTTCGAGTCGGAGGGTTAAAGCTTAAATGCTTTAATAAATAGATAAGGGAGCGAAAGAGAGAGAGAATGAGAGAGTAACTATTTACGCGAGGGTGGTTTGAAAAATTGAGAATTGTATGGGTTTGGCAGATTACAAAGGATATTTGTAGAAGTGAAAGGAAATATTTATTTTTAGGAAACATAATTAGATCCGATTTAATTAGCCTAAGATCTTGTATATAAAAAATATATAATACAGAATACTTTTCATTTTGGTGACAAATTTAAACTATAAAAATAATATATATATTATATATGCATACATATATATTAATTGTATACTTTCTAAAATTTAATCAAACATTTAATTTATCAAAAATAATTATAATAATAATAAATAATAATTAATGGAGTTTTGCCTTGGGTTCGCGCAATTTACAAATTGCTTTCAAATGGGCTGTAAAAAAGTTTTTAATGAGTTTTCGACACTTCGCCTCGGTCTCCAAACAAGACTTTTCCCAGGCCACGCCTCATACCCGCCACAACCACCCACCACCCCTACTCCACTACCCCTGCGTTATGCATTTCCATTTTCATTTTCATTATTATTTATTTTTACATTTTTTGTTGCTTTTTTCGGTGTTACTTTTTTTTTTGTCACGCCAAAAAACTTGGTCGTGGCGTGAACAGTGGGCGTGGCAGCAACAATAATTGCTATGTTGTTGCTGTTGTTGTTGTTGACTTAATGAAATTATATCAATCGGTGGATCAGCTACCCTGTAAATGGAAATTCTTGTTATTCGTGCATCTGGCAGCTGGCAAATGACTTTTCTTTTTCTTCTTCCTCTTCTAGTTTAATCTTAATATTTTCATTAGGAAAATTTTTGAATAGGAATTGGAATTCGGAAAGTGAATTGTAATCATTTTCCTTTTGGTCAGCTCCATTATTTTTCTGCCCTTTTCCTTTTTATTGTTCTGCGCCCGCTTTTCCGGCATTTTCTCGGGAGCGTGAAACAAATCCAAGTCTCACGTCAAATTAAATCAAGTTGTAATATAAAGAAAATTGAAGCCAACTCCCATTTGTGCTATAAGACACAAACACACAGCCGAAGAACGGACCGAGAGAGGGGAGGGGGCATGGTTATGGGCAAAACTAGGGTAGCGCGTGTGTGTGTGTGTAAGGGGAAGAGTAGGAGTAGGTGTGGTTAGCTGATTGGCAATATAACAAGCAGAAGACAAAGGCGAAATTAACCCTTAGGTGCGCAAAGATTGAAATGAAAATGTGTTTACTTATACTATTACAATATTATTAAAATTAAAAAAAATTTTTATTATTTTTTCTATTAAAAAAAAAACATCAAAAAATAGTTTTTTAATTTAGCTAAAGTGGCTGTCTAAAGGTTAAGCTCGTACTAATTATAAGAGAGTATGCGAGTTGGGCAATGCATTTATATGAGCTGCTCTAAAAATCACAATGAACACACATACGGGTTAAGCTTAAGGATAACTTATAAGTATAAGAGTACAACTACATAAGCATCGGCTAGTAATCAGATTTAGAATTATAAGAGTTCATATGCGTTAGCTTCTGCTGTGTATTTAAGCTACAGAGCATAGCCAATGAAGCGTGTGCTATAAATAGAGTAATTCATTCTCTCTTTCTCTATCTCTTCATATTCAAGAATTCACCATTGGGTGACAGTGACGATCAAAACGAGCTTGTAAATATAAGAGTGCATTTATGAGTGAGTATGTACTTATTCTACTTAATACAGCTGAACCCTTAGTTAAGTGTATATGTGGCTTAATTTTGCTTCAATTTATATTGGTAATCGACTGGAAGTATATGCGTTACCATACGTTGGTAAATGTTTAAGGATTCATAGTTTTAATTGCTACCACATAATTTCCACTAACCACTAGGGCAATTGCAATTTGCTCACATAAATATATCGCGAACTGTTTTCGCCGCGACCCTCCCCAAATTTATGCTGCACACTTAATCTAAGCTGTCAATGCAAACAGAAACAGCAGCAACAGCAGATGCAGAAGCAGAAGCAAAAGCTCTGCTGAACTAACGTAATTGGTGCACATTACGACAAAACGTAAAAATCGCTCAGTGTTACGTTGCACATTGACCAACACCGGCAAGCGCACATATGTGTATGTGAAGTCGTAAAGTTTTCGTTGCATTCTCAAGCCTTGCACATTTTCGTCTTCGTCTTTCGTCCACGTCTTTGACTTTTAATTTATGTTTCAATTCCAATTAGCAGACGAGGCGCGTGGAGAAGCTTTTATGCGAGTTCCGTTAATTGACTTTCGGCCTGGCAATGGCGCGTCATTTGTAATTGTATACGAAAGGGACAGGGCAAGGGAGATGGAGAGCGGCCGAGTGTGCGAATGCACGAAGAGAGGGGAGAGTCCGTGTGTGGAGTGAGCGCAGGAGAGTGAGTTTAAGTGTGCACGTTTATTAGGCTAGCCAATGCAGCTAATTGAAGTTCAAATTGTGCTCGGGCGTTGAGTAAGGCGCTTAGCGAAAGGAAACCGTTGAAATGTAAGCGCATGTGTGTGTGTGTGTGTGTGTGAGAGAGTGAGTGTGAGCGAGGAACTTGAGAGCGAATACAAAGGCGAATTCGCAGCAAATTCACTTAAGCGACGAAAAAGCAACTAAAGCCAATTTAACAGTCAATACAAAGGCACACACATACACATACACGTATACATATACATACACAAGCTAAGGCTGTTAAGCGCCCACACAATCACATGACGATTGTAAGGCAAACGGAAATAAAATCAAGCATAAATGCAATAATACAATTTATGTGCCAAATTTCATAAGAGCCATAATGGACTCACACACACACACACGCACACTAGCGCATATACACAGAGAGAGATACAGGACACACACAAATCAAGCAAAAGTCATCAACAAACAAAGGTGACTCCTTGCTGAAAGTTGGACGTAATCGTAATCACATTTGTGCCTTTGCCCAGATCCTGAATGTTGATGCTATTTATGTGTCATTTTCATTGAGCGCAAAACTTTTGCAGACGGTCAAACGCAACAATGTCCTTTGCCTTGCTCCCCTCCCACTCTCTCCTTCCGTTCTCCGTGTCTCTCACTACTTCGCTGCAAGTTAACAACATTTGCTTTACGTTTGCCAATTGCATTATAACTCAATTGTAGCTGAGCGATTTTTATGGTATCGAATGGATGTATCGAATCGTTTTCTTCGACTCGCCTCGAGTGCCGCCCAGCTATTGAGTGACTGTGTGTGCAGCAACAACGGTACTTGAAATGCTGAAGAGACGATAACAAAAGCTGTTGGTGTATGGAAGTGTGTATACCCTTGAAAATATATGCCTTAAGCTAATGTGGAAAACTAAAAATAAATAAAATTAAATTAAATTAAATGGAAAGGTTTTATAATTAATAAATAATAAATACAAATAATAAATAAATAAATTTAAGAGTATATATTAAAAAATTGTGATTATATATAATTCTGGTCGAAAATCGGCCGAACTAGAAAATCATAGTTAATGTAGTCAAGTTAGAGTTATGTATAGTTAGTTATATCTTATATCTTGGGTATAGAATTGTCTTGGTCATATCAAGGGTATATTTATCTTGGGTATATCAAATTAATGTGAAATGCTAAATATACAAAAGTAAGCTTAAAGCAGTAAATAGCATCGAAAAGCTTTAAACTGAACCAGCAAGAACTTTTCTTAAATTTCCAGCTATGCCTGAACTTCAGCTAAAAGAGTTTCCCACATAAATAAGAGTTTGGCTTAAAACACATGTATGTATGTAATGTCTGTATAACATTGTTTTGCTGCCCCACTTAAAATAGATACATACATATATACACGTTAGAGTAATTGTACAATTGGCATGCAAAGACATTTGAAAGCAGTTGAGGGCAGAAGCTGTGGAGATGCATTCACAATTTGGGCATCCTTAATGCATCTCCGATGGGCCATAAATTGTGACTGGGCTGTTATTATATTTTGGGCATGGGCACGCCGAGCTTGAGGGCACTTCAGAGCCGAAATGCTGGAATGTGGAGCAGGTGCGCCGGCGACCTCAGACATGGCCAGCTGTAGCTCAATTGCCGTTATGCAATGCGGCCGTAAGTGTGAGGCACGCCCTCCATTTGCTGTCACATTGTGGCATAAATTGATTTGCCACGATCTCCGGCTAGAAATGGATTTATGAAAGTCACGCAAAAGCCAATCGCATTAGACGTAACGCTTCGCCCACAAATTGGGCCAACAAAAAAAAAAAAAAAAAAAAAAGAGTAAATGATAGAGATATGAGTAATTATTGATCGAGTTAATGCGCATTTATAAGGCCTGCGGGCGGCAGCAATGGGCAAACAGTTGCTCGACTTCCCTCACAGCTCAAACATGTCTCGCGTATGCCTCTCACTAATCTCAGCTCTTTTGCTGCTATCGCCCACCTGGGCGGGCATTGGCTACCTGGCCGACGAGCACGCCGTGGCGCACACCCAGCAGAATGTGGTCAGGAGCTACGACGGCACCGTCTCCCACTATGCCAAGTCCGTGTCGACGCCCTACTCTCAGGTGCACAAGCAGGACACACGCATCAGCAACAATGTCTACCAGCCAGCCATAGCCAAGACTATCAGCTATGCCGCTCCAGCTCCAGCTCCAGCTCCGACTGTCTATACATCGCATCAGCCCGCCGTCTACAGCCAGGCTCCAGTCTACCATCAGCAGCAGCAGCAGCAGCAGCAGCAGCAGTACCAGCAGCCCATTCCGGCTGTCCAGTCCACCTACTCCAGCCACCAGCCCATTGCGGTGCACTACTCACCCGCTGAGGCGGTCTCCCACATGAGCTTCGATGGTTTCGGCACCCACTGGGGATACTAAGGAGGCAATTTCAAATAGTTTTAAGAGTTTTGCATTCAATAAAGACATTTGTTAATATGTGAGAGCGATTTGCTTATGAAGACTAGAAAATACCCTATCTAACATTTGGGGAATATATAAAGAGCGGAAATTAGAATTTGAGCTCCGACTAGAACACTCTTTAATATGTTATATATAACTACATATAACTACACAGATTCCTCACACTACTCCCCAGCACATCTAGCTCTCTTATTCATCCACTTAAGAATATCCGCCAGAGATCTCTCTGACTCTTAATGTGTTATTTAATAATCGTAATCTAGTTTTTATCACAGTTCATGGCCGGAGTCGGAGTCGGAGTCGGAGTTTTCGCTCACGTCTTCGTGTTGCTGTATATAAACAAATCATAAAAATCCACACAAAGTGCTGCACACTACAAATAGCCTGAAGTAGGACATTAGCTTGGCTCTTCTACTAATGCCACGCCCACCAACTAACGCCCCATCTGTAACCACAGCGAACGAACGAGCAGCAGCAGGAGCCTGAATGGTCGGGTTACGTGATTTGTGCAGCGCAAACTTAAAAATCGGACATGAACGCTACGTGACTCGCATGGCAAGCGACGGTCGAGGGACTCGAAGATGGAGGCGGAATCGGAAACGGAGCGAAGGACACAGCAGCAACTGAACTAATCGGATTTCTTTTATGCGCCTTCGGCGTGTGAAAGGGGTATATGGGGTTGGTATTGAAATCGAGCAAATTGTGAATATTCTAAAGATGTGATTAAAACTTAACTATTATCGATGAGCTGCAAAATCGATAGAGATCGATTATAATCGATATCTCTTTATATATTCAGCATTTTGGCAACTAGCAGCTCAACTCGAACGGCAAGCGAGCATTACGCAGTCAACTACACCCGACTGCAGCATCTTCAGCTTCTCTCTATCAGCTCTCAATCAGAACTTTGCCTCGTTATGAATTATGCACATTGGCGATTGCATGCAGCCAGAGAAAGAAAAGCGAATCGACCTGAGATTCAGAATCTATAAATTGAAATCACATTTTTGCTAGCTCATTAATTCGATGCCACTTAACTTGAGCTAACAAAGAGCCAAGAGTCAATTTCGTCTCATAGTCTTGCCATAAATGATGGCTCCATTAGATGGCAATCAGCTGAATTGCCTCAGCCAAAAGAATTTCAAATGAAAAACTGCCCAAAAAGAAAAAGGCTCAAAAAGGCTCAAAAACTGTGCGAATTACATTTCGCTTGAGCAACCAAAAAATAAAAGGGAAAAGAAAAATGTTGTAGCTTGCAACAAATTGCAGTATGACAAAATTTTGCGGCTATAAACAGCGCTTAAATGCAACAGTCAGCGGCAGCAGCTGCCACGTCCTGCTCTTGCTCCTGCTCCTGCTCCTGCTGCTCCTGCCTGAGGTCCTGTCGCGCCACTTGACTGCAGAAAGGCGCAATGATAAAATATTTGCTGGCTAAAAACTTGCCAGCTAAGTGTGTTTGTTGTTGCGGCCAAAGTTGAGTGGCAACCGCTATTCGCCTGCCTCGCCTCCTGCTCCTCCTGCCCCATGTCCTTTGGCTGCCCGTCGACAGGAAGTTGTGAGAAAATAAAAATGCAAATATGCCCAGTAAGACGTATTTATCAACATAATTACATTTTTTAATGGCTTTTTAAACCGCAAAATGGCAAAGCCGCAAAATGCAGATAAAACTGGAGCAGAAGACTAGAAGATATACTAGCTAAACAGTGTTGTTGTTGTTGTTTTCTACTTTAACTATGTTGCTGCCCCTTCTATAGTGTTTTGCTGCAAACTGTTTACTAACTCAATTAGCCATTTCAGCGAATAGGCTTAGTCTTAATGAAGTTATTTTCAGTGATAATTACCTAACTGTATCTAAGCACAGCTAACTGTAGTTAAGTATATACATGCATAATTATAGATGACTATATATATATAAATAGCAGTTGACACTCTCAGCCAAACTGCATTCTTGGCAATCAGAAACTGCAACTCATTTCGATGAGCACAATTTTCCATAAACAACAAGTAATAAAGTTGTTGTAGGCCGCATCCGACTGCCTAATACTCGTTCAGAATCAGTATATACAGTGAGGTACGTAAATTAGTTATTGTTTCAAATTTAAAGCCTCTAGCTTCGATAGCAATGAAATTAATATCATTTATCCCTTTGCCTTTGCGCATAAAAAGCTCAAAGTTCAAAGCTGTGCAGAAAATGTATCCGCCTTAAAGCCTCTGGCATAAGCAAGAGCACGCCGATCCAGTCCCTAAGAGAGCTTTTGCAACAGAGAGCTTTTGCAAAAAGATATGTTGAGCGTGTCTAAAATTGATTCACATATGCAATTCAGCTCTTGGTGAGCACAAAGAGAGGCCGCAATAAGTGTGGGAGAGGGAGACAGAGAGGGAGAGGGAGACAGATAGGGAGCGAGAGAGCCTAAATTACGATTAAGTCAACATGTGTTTGATAGACAATAACATGGCGAATGTGAGCTAAAGAGAGTGTGTGTTAGAGGGAGAGGATGAGGACGAGGCCGTGAGTGTGAGTGTGAGCAGCAACAGTTGAGCGTAAAATGAAATGATCTGCGCTCAGTTGTTGCTCGCCATTAACAGTGATCGGTTCTACGTTTATCGCTGCAAAAATATATGTACATATATATACAAATTTATATACATATACATATATGTATAAGATTGCGTTTTCGCTTGCTGACTCACCTGCGCATAGCTGGGCCGGCAAACGCTTAGCATGTCGGGAATCGAGAATGGCCTCGGAGTCAAGTTGTGCTTGCTAATCTTATTGATAACGCACCTGCATCAATCGTTGGCATTGGGCACCTCGGGCGTTGACGCCTTCAAGCGACGACTGCGTCGACAGATGGCGCTGCCGCTTCAACTCGATGACTACCTCAGCTACGATGAGATGCTGGCCTACATGGCGCAGCTGGCGAGGGCGTACAGTGATTACGTTACTCTTCAAGATGTGGGCGTAACGTACGAGCAGCGTCCACTGAAATCGCTAACGGTAACTAATGGCGATGGACGCGTCGGCAAGAAGGCGATTCTACTCATAGCCGGGGCACATGCGCGCGAATGGCTAACACCTGTTGCCGCCTTGTACACCTTGGAGCAGCTGGTGGTCAGGCATGAGGAGAATGCGCATTTGCTGCAGGACTACGATTGGATTCTGTTGCCGCAGCTCAACCCGGATGGCTATATGTTCTCCCGCACTGTGGACCGATCGTGGCGCAATACGCGTTCGCCCAACGGCAACAATTGCTTCGGCACGAATCTCAATCGAAATTACGATATTGAGTGGGGGCAGGGCTATGCGGAGCTACAGGATTCCTGCACCGATCACTATGCGGGTCCTAAGCCCTTCTCCGCGCCAGAGTCGCGAGCGGTGCGTGACATAATGCAGGATTTGGTCCAGAGCAATCGTGGGATGCTGTTCATGACGCTGCATACGCATCACACAACCATTTACTATTCCTGGGCACACACGAGGTAGGCATAACCAAGGATCGATTCCGAGAATGAGATAAAATCTTTCTCTTCTAGTGCCAGCAGTGCCAATGACAAGGAATTGCACGCCGTGGCGGAGGCTGGAGCTGTGGCCATATTCAATGCGACTGGCACAAGATTCGCCTATGGGCAGTACGGCAAGGAGGATGCCTTTGGGGGCACCAGCGTTGACTATGCCCATTCTATTGGATTTCCGCTGAGCTTTGCGCTGGAACTGTCCGGCGAGCGAGATGGACTTACCTTTGACTTTTGGCCACCAAAGCACCTGCTGAAGGACCTAGCCGAGGAGTCTTGGGTGGGCATCAGTGCCATGGCGAGGAAAGCCATTGAGCTCTATCCACCGACGAGGTCTCTGTCTGTGGCTAAGGATTACTCTGCCTCGTCTAGCTATAGTCTGACTAATATGATGAAGATACTATTGCTTATGATAATCATAACGGTACTCTCTCGCTGACCAGTGTTGGTTAATGACTTAAAAATAACTTAAATGTTTGTGAGTGTATTTTATAATGAAACTAACTTTTGCATATTTGTTGTACAAAATAGGATTTTAATGTACAATCTATGTATATATCATATATATATATATATATATATATATAATATATATATATATATATGTATTGTATATAAATATTGTTGAATATCTGCTGAAAATCCATAAGCTGTTACTTAAATAATTACATACACTTATTTTAAATATAATTAACTTTTAAATATACTGTTAATTAATTTTAACTGAAAATAAATAATATGAATATATCATTATGTACTTACTGACCCATAGAAACCGGAAAAATTAAGTAAGACAGGTTTAAATAAAACTTAATTTTGTTAAAGAGGCAAATAATCAATTCAATCTTCTATCACATATTTCACACACACATACATCCATTACAACGCTATCAGAATCTCTCTCAATTAAAAATCCAATTAGTAAAATAATAAGTATTTACATGCGGCTAGTAATACTTATAACATTTCGACGATGCCCAACAACAAAAAATATCTTTACACCATCGCAATTTAAAGAAACTGCTTTAATTGTTTATTCTGTTCTATATGCCATTTCGATTGTTCATTTATATCAATTTTCAGAGCAGTTGGCGCCTTAACCGAAATATCAGTTGTCTCGCATTTAACAAAAATTATTTTAAATCCACAGCAGAGCCAGGCTGAGTTTGCTGTTACTCACACACACACACACACACACACACCCATACGCAGTGCCTTGCTCATTGAACGAAAAGCTCGCATTACTCATACGCCGCGTTGTTCGCGTGCTATTTGCTTGTTTGCGCTGGCTATCAACGTGACTTGGCTGTTGAGCACTGGGCGGTCTCTTTTACAGTTTCTGTTGCCGGTTCTGTTTCTGTTTCTGTTTCGTTGTGTGCTATCACTCGGATTGTCTGATACGTTTCACATGCTGCAATTAACGCAACAAATTGCATTTTTAATATGCGCAAATTAATGTGGAAAATCTTCCATTTTTTGTTACCCTCTCTCTCTCTCTCTCTCTCTCTCTCTGTCTCCCTCAGAGAGTTTTATTTATAACAGTCATTGCGAAAATTGAAAATGCACAATTAAAAGCACGCCTATGCTATATATCTATATATATATATGTGTATGTATGTATGTGTATAAGGATGAGTGTGTCTGTAGCTCTACTCGCTGACCCTTTTTAAAATAATATGATAAAATGCCATTACAAAAGTCAAAGTCGAACTTCGGCTCGACTGCAGGAAGCAGCTGTTAATTAGTTTTTTTTTTTTTTTTTTTTGCGAGTGCAGCTCTTCAGGACGAGGTCCTGCTTTGGCAGCTATCCATCCCCCGTGTTCTGTCGCTGTGCAAATGTTTTAATTTCCGCACGAATGTCTCTAACGGAAATTACATAAAAAGGAAAAAAAGCATAAAATAAAACAACAAACATAAAGAGCTGATAGCTGCGACCTACTGCCGAATGTCTGTGCCTTGTGTGACCAAAACAATTAGCATACTCAATTCTGCTCGATACTAAAAAGAAATGAGAGATACTAACTATAGAAATAAACGCTCAGTTTGTGTTAAGCGCTGAATTAACTCACTAGTAATTCGTTTTTACAGCTCTTTGAGTCCCGATCAGATAAGACTATGGAATTAGAGAGCTTCGAGCACTACAGCTGGGGGCTATAGCTAATTGACTTGCCTCGAGTCTCTTCAAATTGCAAAATGCTGCTGATCGCGATTGTTGTGCTGCTCTTAACGAGTTGGGTCCATTGGCGCCAAAGGGACAGGCGAGCGGCCGTTGCCAATCTGCCAGGCCCATTCTGTCTCCCGCTAGTCGGAGCCTGGCATCTCGCCATCAATATGACTCCCAAAAGTACGTATCAAGTGCATGACAAGTGCTATGTGAGTTGATGTGGAGCAGAGTACAAAGTGCATTGAATATTTCATTGATTGCCGTCGACTGCTTCAGCTCTCAATATGTAAATAGCTGTTGAATATTAAAACAATTACATATAGTTGCCATTTAAATAATCTATTTAAAAGATGTAAAGTGAGCTGATGTTCATATGGAAAATCAAGCTATGTGCTATAGCAATTATAAGTATCAAATTGTTAAACTTAAGTCGTTACAAACTCGACTCCATATGGAATTGCGAAACGTTGCTTTTGCAGCAGACGCAGGATCAATGTCATCAATAAGCAACCAATATAATACTCTCTAGTTTTTAGTTTTTCGCAGCTCGATCAATGATAATAATAATCCATTGATAATAATAATAATATTGAGTCATTACTACAATTTATTCATTTATGTTTGAAGAGCATAAAAATAGTAGCATTACCTTGCTTCTTGCTTAGAGCTATAGAGATGCATAGAGTTACAGCTATGAAGCTAGAGGGATACGAATTTCAGATGCCAACATTATTATTAGTTATCAATTATTATTAGTTATCAATTATTATTAGTTATCAATTAGGCAAAAAAAAAAAAGTAAAATAAAAGCAAACAATGCACTCTCTATATTTCTAGCTTTCGTAAACAATATTTTTCTATTAATAAAACCTTATCATAATTGCATCTATTATTAAATTTCAATTTCTTGCTGTTATCTACCTGATTATAAATAAAGAAGTAGGTAGTAAATAATCTATAAATATTATAATCTTCGCTTAATAGCTATTAGACTATGAACGAGTACTACGACATTGGGCATATCACACTCTAGCTTATTATTTTTAAAAGTCTTATCTCATTGCATTCCAATAAGAAACTAATTGTATACAAATAAGTGAAGTACTCAAAAATTAAGCAATCTCTATCGTTGCTGTTATCAACATTATAATAATAAATGTCTGCAAATAATATTATTGATTCCCTGCAGCTTTTATTGAACGCTCCCAAAAATACTTCAGGCAATTGGGAAAATTGCAGCGTGCATGGGTGCTAAATCGTTTGGTAATCGTCAGCGGCGATGTGGAGTTCAATGAGCAGCTGATGTCCAGCCAAGAGCACTTGGTCAAGCATCCGGTGTACAAGCTGCTGGGCCAGTGGCTGGGCAACGGCCTCCTGCTCAGCGATGGCAAACTTTGGCGTCAGCGGCGCAAGATCATAACACCGACCTTTCATTTCTCGATCCTCGAGCAATTCGTGGAGGTCTTCGATCAGCAGTCGAATGTGTGCGTGGAGCGTCTGGAGCAGCGTGCCACTGGAGAGTGCTTTGACGTCTATCCCTTTGTCTGCCTGGCTGCCCTGGATATCATTTCAGAGACGGCTATGGGCACCAAAGTGCATGCGCAGCAGGCAGAGAGCACGCCCTATGCCAATGCTGTAACGGAGTAAGTGGGAGGTGTCGCTGGGTCCCTGGAAGTTAGTATGCTAGAGCCGTAGGGTTGTTCTTATCGAAGTTTATTTTTCATATAGATGTTGGTTATGGATAATGGGAACAGGGAGTTCTCAGTGTGAATAAAGTGCACTGAGATATATTGATATAACTTTTAGTCTCAGGGAGCCGGTCTATATACCAGTTCTGTAAACTAGATCATATAAAACATTTCCTTATATTAATCCCTCTCACTCTACATCACACCGGTTCCTCCTCCAATTGTAGTCATATCTAATCTTCAGCTGTCCTAGAGTCTTCTGAATTTCTGCTCGCTTTCCTAGGCATTCCATAACACTATTTATATAATACCACTCCCCTACCCCCTCCCATCGACAGATGCACTGCCTTGATGGCCTGGCGCTTCATGTCGGTGATCCAGCAAAACGAGCTGCTCTTCACACTGACCCATCCACATCTGAAGCTTCGCCAGATGCAGCTCATACGCATCATGCACGAATTTACTGCGCAGGTGATTAAGCAGCGTCGCCAGGCCTTGGAGGCGATGCAGGTGGCGGGCACAGAGCAGCAGGAGGATGAGCAGGTGGGCGGCAAGCGTCGCATGGCTCTGCTCGATGTGCTGCTGCAGGCGAGAGTCGGTGGACGAGCGCTGAGGGACGAGGAGATATGCGAGGAGGTGGACACGTTCATGTTCGAGGGCCACGACACCACAACTAGTGGCATCTCTTTCTGCCTGTGGTGCATCTCACGGCATCCTGAGGTTCAGGCCAAAATGCTGGCGGAGATCCTGGAGGTGCTGGGCAGTGATCGCAGTCGAGCCGTTAGCATGCGAGATTTGGGCCAATTGAAGTATTTGGAGTGCGTCATCAAGGAGTCGCTGCGCCGATATCCGCCTCTGGCGCTCGTCGGGCGCAAGCTGCAGGCAGACTTCAGATACAGTAAGTGACTGAGACTAGCACTGGGCAATCTCTAGTGGAGACTCTCTGCTTGCAGCGCACTCCAAGTTCGGAGCAGGCGTCATTCCCTCTGGGTCGGAGATTTTCATGATCATTTATGGCATGCACAATGATGCGGATTACTTTCCGGAACCAGATCTCTTCAAGCCGGAACGCCATGAGAGCAGCGATCGCTCCGCCACGAACTTTTCGTACGCCCCCTTTAGTGCCGGGCCGCGCAATTGCGTGGGCCAGAAGTTCGCCCTGCTGGAGATGAAGATGCTGCTGGCCAAGATCGTGCGCGAGTACGAGCTGCTGCCGCTGGGCGAGCCAGTGCAGCCGGTGGTCAACATTGTGCTGCGCTCGGATACAGGCTTCCAGATGGGCATGCGCAAGCGTGGCCAGCAATAGGGGTATTCCCTGAGTAATTTAAGCTATGTTTATTTTTGCTGAATTAAAACTAAAGTCTATCTAGCCAATTATGTTCTAGTCAATCTTTTTACGTGGCTGCAGCGCCAGCTGAAAGCCATTGCTGGAGCCCAGCGCCAAGCGCAGCTGCGGACGCAGTGCATCGCCATAGGGCAGCAGCTCGTACTGCAGCAGCAGCGGCGCCACCAGCTGCTGCAGGAGGCTCAAGCTCATTTGCTGCGCCGGACAGCTGCGTGGACCCAGACCAAAGCTGAGCAGCTCGACGGGCTGCTCCAGAAAGCGCTCGGGCTGAAAGTGTTGCGCCTTGGTGCCATACGCCTGCTCAGCGCGTTGTAGCTCATAGAGATTCAAGTAGATCTCAGCACCGGCAGGCAGCGAGCCAGCGCCCAGCTGGGAGTGAGCTGTGAAAAGAGAGAGAGAGAGAGAGTGAATATTAAGTTACATGAGTGATAAATTCCTTCACCTACTGTACTCAAAGTCCTGACTCAGCTCACGGTTTACGATCACCTGCGGTGGCTGCAGTCGCAGTGTCTCTTTGAGCACCGCCTCCAGGTAGGGCAAGCGCTCCTCCTTTGAGTCCTTCGCCTCTCGCAGCTCATCCAGACAACGTTGCTGCACCGCCGGATGTCGTGCTATCAGCACCAGGGCAGAGCAGAGAGCGCTGCTGCACAGCAAATAGCCCAGGAAGCTGCAGCAGTTGAGCTCAGCGAGCAGCTGGGCATCGGTCAGCGATGCTTCGCTCGTGAGCAGCAGCTCGAGCAGCGATTGGTATTTCACTCTGGGCACCGGCTCAATGCGATCTATTGTGATGCCCTCGATCTTTATTTGATTACTGCTTAGCTTATGCTGTCGGCGCTGCTCCAGCATCTGTTTGTTCTCCTCATTGATGCGCCGAATGAGCCGTTGCTGCCGTCGTCGAGTGAGAGGCGAGCAGACCCAGAAGGTCAGACGATTGGCTGATCTGACGCTCAGGAAACGCTTGCGATAGAGCTCTGTGAGTCTGTTGGGAGTTGGGAAATTTGATGATTGTTAAAATAGATAATGGGAATCAAATCAAATGCTAATTAATGACGGAATAAGATCATAAGGGGGGTAATGAGAATTAAATATAATATTTTTTAATTAACTTAGATTAGAGAAGTCTCAAACTTTGATTAGAAATATTTTAAACTAACAAAACTAGTTCTTATGAGTTAAATCCCGAGACACTATTCAAAATATTAAACACAGTTCAGGACATGGAAGTCAGTTTTCGGAACAAGTTCAAATTACTAAAATAGAAATGCAGAAAACTTTGTATTTAACTCTGCCAAAATGTTGACCTCCGAAATAAGTTGACAAATTATTTACAGTGATTTTTTTTGCTTATCATAATAATCGAAGTATTTTCTCTGTCCTTGCTCTAATATTCTGCCTTCAGTCTTCTAAGTCTTGGCTCTAAGTTTTCCTCTAAGTCGTTCCTCTATGGCTTCATATATTTCACCTCACTTTACTGCACTGAACGACCTCCGCTAGCCCTGGACGACTGAAGAAATGCTGCAGCTGCTGCCCTTTATATAGGGCTACTTTCACCCGAACATTAGTCGCGCTCAACTGTGGTGCCCGATGCCAGGTAGAGCTCATAGCCGTCGGGCTTTGAGTGATCAATGGGAACACTCTCTTCGGCTTCAAGCAGTCTTCGTTCACATATAAACACCAAATGAGTACTGCTGCACACATATAGACAACAGAAATGATCTTCTGCAGTCTTCTTCTTCGGCCCTTGCAGTTAGACAGAGAGTCCGACGGAGAGACAGACTGTGAGAAAGTCAGGGAGATAGAGAGATAGAGAGAGAGAGAGAGAGAGTGAGAGAGAGAGAGAGAGAGAGAGAGAGAGGGAGTGAGTGCGTGAGAGAGAGAGAGAGAGAGTGAGAGCGTGAGAGAGAGAGAGAGAGAGAAAGTGAGAGCGTGAGAGAGAGAGAGATAGTGAGAGAGAGAGAGAGAGAGAGAGAGAGAGAGAGAGAGAGATAGTGAGAGAGAGAGAGAGAGAGAGAGAGAGTGAGAGAGTGAGAGAGAGAGAGAGAGAGAGAGAGAGAGTGAGAGAGAGTGAGAGAGAGAGAGAGAGAGAGAGAGAGAGAGAGAGAGAGAGAGAGAGAGAGAGAGACAGGGCGGTATACAGACAAACATACGAACTGATATTCCACCAAAAATTGAATCAGTTTGAGCTAATATGGCACCAACTTCTGCTATGCTAGATTTTCAATTGTAATTCCTGAACCAGTTTGAGCCTGGAATAAACTTGCAAACTTAGTTTTACACTCCAAATCTCAGCATAAATCAAAATGAAAAGCTAGCCTATATACCGTTACATGTCCGGCTACTCACTCTTTAAATGCCTGTTTGTAGTGCTCGCTCGGCTGCATGCCACAGCTGATGCATAGCATTAGGTCCAGCACATTGTCGGACACCAGCTGACACACATCAAAGACCTGTCGCGCTTCCGCCCGAGCCGCTAGCTGCTGGCAGAGCTGCTCGGCCTGCTGCTGAAACAGTTGGCTCAATTGCAACAGGTTGTCTGGGCGGGAGAGTGAGGCGAGTAGCTGGTGTCGCTGTGGCCAGTGCTGCGGCTGGCAGGTGAGCAAACTGTCGCCCAGCCAGTCGCTCATCAGCTCGTGGCCCGTCTCCAAATGCGTTTCGCTCTGCAGCAGTTTCTTGGCCAATTCCAGGTCGGCGACCGGTATGAAGAGTCTGTGAAAAACCCAAATTCGGCTCACAGCGCCATATTTGGCCAGGTAGACAGAGCTGCGCTCGAAGAAATCTGTCGAGGTTGAAATTTTTCAATGTCTATATAAGTAAATCGAGTTTCGTTTTTTTTTTTTTTTTTTTTTTTTTAGTTCTTACTCTTTGGCGATAGCAGCACAATTTTGTGCATGGCACCCATTAGGGGCCAGGTGAAAGGTCCTCCAAGGTTCTTGATGAAACCGCGCTGTCGACGTTGCCTCAAATAATTGAATGCCGACACCAGGCAGAAACACACAAAAATGCTGGCCAAGATCATTTTGTGAACTGTGAACGCAACCTCAACTGCAAGTGCGTCCGACTCTCGGCGATTGGAACCGGTTTATGGCCGAGCCACTGGGGGCATATTGGCTATCTCAAGTGTTTTACGATTTCAGCTAGCGCTTAACCGATAAGCCCATATTTTGAATACGCCAACAGCATGTTTACTTACAAATATTAATTCAATTGGAGAGTGGTTAAAGCTATTTTGAAATTATAAATATATATTATTAATTTTTATTTTATTTTGTAAAATTTTTTATTTTAATTTTTGGCTATTTTTAGATCACATATATTCATTTTTATCATAGCGTATAACTTTGGCTGTATTCAAATAGGTTCCACAGCATGTTGCTGGCAGCATGTTGCTAGCAACATTTGTGTTTGCTAGCAACATTTAAATTGTCAATTGATTGCAGCTGAGATTTGAAGAGTCATAATAATTGAGAAAGCAAACGAAAAATAAAATAAAATAAAATAAAATTAGAAATTAAATAAAATAATTATTGTTTGCCACCATGGAAAAGTGAAAAAAATCATTAGTCAGCATATAAATTGAGACAAGAAATATATATATATGCCAAATGAAGCAGCAGACTATATCCACTTAATATCTACAAACTATTTATATTTCATATATCTACACATATTATTCATATTTCGTTAACATAAACAATATGTTGATTATCTACCTGCAATAGTTTTACTGCTCCAGCTCGAATTACATATTTATTTAGAAGGCTCGCAAATCCCTTATTAATAAAATATTTAAATGCTTAGCTAACATTTATTGCAGAAGCTGCCTGCTAGGAGAATGATTTCACAACTATTACAAGTAAGCCCAGCTATTTGGGTTTTTGTTTTGCTAGCAGGGCTCAGGGTTTGTCCGACCGACTCGTGCCCCTCCCTGAGGCATTATCATATGGCAGCTGTTGCTGTTCCGAGCTGGAAATTTGAATCTTTTGCATTGTACAAACTTTGCTCGCTCTCTCTTGTACGGGTGTGTGTGTGTGTGTGTGTGTGTGTGTGTGGGGCTGTCGGTCAACCCTTTCAAGAGTCCAACTGTCAAAAGTACATTTGCCTTGGTTACGCCACAGAAATATCCTCGAAGCATGTAATGACAATATCAGCCAACGCCAGCGACCCTTCAACTCCCTGAACCAAAGAGCTGGCCGCGGGGGCTTTGGGGATTTGAGAGGTTGGCCGCTCTTAGCTGTTGCTCCACTGATGAAACTTTAATGGCACAAACACGCACTCCACACAGACAGACAGACAGACAGAGAGACAGAGAGACAACCAGGGCCATGTGTCCAAACAATTTAAGCGAGCTGCTTTCAGCTTTCACAGTTCTGTTTTTTGTGCCTTCTGCTCGATTTAATATCGTGTGAAATGTGATGCACATTCCACTGGCTAATGGCGGCTAATGAAGGTACTTTTATTGCGGTTTGCCGAGTTCGCTGAACCCCCATGTTGATCATTTATGTACCTATACAGGGACACCTAACAATATATATATTTATGTACAATATATGCATGTAAATGTCTTTATAAATTCATACGTCAATGTCAGGAGCAAGTGGAAAATGTTTGCACATATGCAAATTACATGGCAAATACAAAGCATGAAATACTTTCCGGCGACAATGAAAACTAAGCGAAAAGCAAAGCCGAAAGTCTGTCCAGTGTGTCCATTGTTGCAATGCGGCAAAAAAAAAAAAAAATGGGAAAGGAAAACGAAATTGTGGGGAGTTGTCGCATTCACAGGCCTACCGAATATCCTAGTGTTGCCTGGCCAAAAATTAAAAACAAAGACATAAAAACAATTTACATTTCCATTGTTGTTTCCCTTTGCCTTGTGGCCAAGCGAAAGTCGGCTGTGCTTTAAAAAACGCGACAAGTGCACGAAAAAACTGGCCACAGACACTCGACACATAGATACTCATTCGCCCATACATATACGCATATAAATTGCAAATGCAGTCGGTCAGCCGGCAAGTTAGAGACAGCAAAAGACACACGACGAGCGACCAACACAAATGGGGGAAAAAAAACCAGAAAGAAAAGAGTCGGCCTCATGCCTAACTACTGAAATAGATGGGAGTGGCTAGCTCGAATTGTGCAATGCGCTGCAATGGCATCAGCTGCTGGCTGAGTTGGGGTTTGAATTTATAGATAAAACATAAATTTATTGATAAATAGAAATTGGTTAAGGAGGTTAAAGAGCTAATCTCAATTGTACTCTAATTTTACTAAAAAAGCTCAGGCTAAAAGTTGTTTTATTGAATTAATTCAGGCTCATATTATTTTTTTTCTAATTCATGTGATTTTTTTTTTTATAATAACAGCTTTGGCTTAATTTAATTTATTTAATATAAATATATATAACATTAATATGAGTTGTTTTTTTTTTTTGGCTTTTTTTTTCATCAAAGCCAATTTAAAATTTTTAATATTAAAAAAAAAAAAAAAAAAATAGTAAGTTGTAGATTGAAAAATTAGCTTTAAAAAATTAAATTTATATATGCAAAAAATTATACTTAACATAAATACAAAAATTTATACTTAAACAAAACTAAGCACATAGCTTATATATTTATATTCATTATAAAAATTTATATAATGCTATAAAGCTCTTCCTAAGAATTGTAAACACTATTTGATTTTACCTGCTTTAAGTGATTAGCCACGAGTTAAATGCTCACTAGACTTTAGCGTAGCTCACTCAGCAGTCACTGTGGCTGCTGCATTGCCTACAGGCAGCAGGAGGCGTCAGCAGTGCTGCTGTTTTTGTGGCTGTTGTTGTCGTTGGCGACAGGAAGCATTTTGCATGAAATGCCCATAAAAATGATATGCACATCAACACTGCCTGATATCAATGGTGCGATAAGCGCGAGAATTTGTTAACTTCGTTGCGATGCGACTGTTGTCAGACTGCGTCTATTTGGTGTATGCCACTAATTGAGGCATGTTTAGATCGAGGACATTTACAGTGTGTGCGTGTGCTGTCAGTTAATCAAGACGAAACTGCGACGCCTGATGCCTGATGCCTGATGCCTGATGGCTGACTTTGTTGTTGACTAACTACATTTGGCTAGACATTTAATTTGGTTGTGCAGCTAAAAGGTTGCCATCACTCACAGACACACACACGCACACACACACTCACACACACACACACGCACGCTCATTCAGTCATATGCCATTATGGCATTGACTTTTGTCTCATTTTTGGCTTTCACATATTAATTCCCAGTTGTCATATGTCAGGCATGCCCCTAATAATACGAGCTGATGCGTACGCTATGATTACTGTCAGCGACAGCCACTCAGACACTATGAATAAGCACTTATGGCACTCACTGGCATATCCTTGTGGGCTTATCCTCAGCGACTTAAGGTGCCCCGCAGCGCAGCTCTCTGCCTGTCGCCCTCTCGCTCGCTCGCTCTTAGCCTGTGGCAACAACTTTGACTGCGCGACAATTTATCACAGCCAATTTAACCACTTAAGTGTGAAATACGCTGCCGGAGTAAAAGAGTATACTATGCATATGCATTCATTCGTTACATAAATACACACGCACACACACACACACGCACACACATATATAAATATTAAAAAATATGTAAAGTTACATTTTGCAGGCACTATGCCAATGGCCTGCAGCGACGTTCTGAATTCAACTGTAAATTGCCACAGCGCTGACCACTCAATATGCGTGTGTGTGAGTGTGTGAGGGGGTGTGCCGCTCTCTGTGTGTGTGTGTGTGTATCGGTATATTTCTGCTCGTGGCATTTATTTGTTTACAATCTGTTTGCGAAAAGCTGGCGCAAGGCTTAAAAATCTGCATTTGCATTTTAACAGGCAATGCCATTGTTATGCGTGTGTGTGTGTGTGTGTGAGCGTGTGTGTGGCATTTGTATTCATTGAAAAGACAGTTGCAACTATAGCCAATTGATTTTTATGCAAATTGACACTTTAAGCATTTCACTTTGGCAAATCCGCTTTATAAATTCGATTTGATAACTAGAGTTATTGCCGCAGCGCACATGGCGTATGCTTAATATATTTAATTAGTTTTCTATGATCAATTGAACTAATTGCAAGCACAGCAGCACCGTTAATATTTATAATATTTAATTTAAATATACTATTAAAAAAATAATTTGTATTTTAAAAAACGTGAACTGACTATGAAATAAAAATATATTTTTAATGGCAATATATTTATATATTTTTAATTAAAGTATAAGTCCAATTAAAAACTCTTTCAATTAATTTATTTAATTTTCTCAATAGATTTATTTATGTGTTTATTATATATTTCTTTATTTATTGATTTACCTATATTTTTATTTATTTATTTATTGTTTAATTATTTTTTATTTTAAATTATATAGTAATAATTACTATATAATTTAAGATAAAAAATAATTAAACAAAAAATAAATAAATATAAATTTATATATTTTAATTTCATTAGTAATTTTTTTTATTAAAAATGTATATTTAAAAAAAAAAAACAAATATTTGTTGTATATTTGTTTATATTTAACTTTTCATTCATATTTCATATTGTTTATATTCAACTTTTACCTCTTCGCTCTTTGAATAATCGTTTCCATTCTTCCCTCTCTTTCACTATCTTCCTACTACACCACCCTCAACTGTTCAACATGCATTGACGCTCTATTCTATTCAGAAAAGTGCTTACCCTTAAAGCTCTTGGCCACTTGAATAGGCCAGCAGCAGAGCTGGCGCCGCTTTGGCTTTCATGAAATCGGCTTTCAACAGTTCGCATACATAAAAGTGCAGATTCATGTTTTGTTTGACAAAATCCGTATAAATCTAAAGAGCAAATGCCGTAACAAGCAGCCGTCAGTTAACTGGCTCGCACATGAGCCGGATTTAAGCGAGAGGAGTAGATAGAAGGCAGAGGGAGCAGCAGAAACAGAGGCAGCAGTAGCTTCAGCATCCGCTAAATGGAATTAGCCACAGTCAATGATGGCTCAGACAGGTGGCTAACAGCAGCCTCGACTTGGGCACGTGTTGCGCTCAAATACAATTTTCACACCCATTAACAAATTTGCATAATTACAGCAGGGAGTTGTTGCTGTCAAAAAAAAAGGAAAA